AATGTCTCAATGGCCAACTGGGTTACATGACCATTCCTTGGTGAATGAGGAGGAGAGTCACCACCAATCATGTTTTTTAGCCTAGATCGGACCTGGCTTTTGTCTAGCAAAGAAGGAAGAAAATGGCTGCTGACTGAATAACCCACCATATCTATTGCCCCAACTTTGTTGATGCTTTCATAGCCAGAGTAATTCCTCTTAACAGGGGGACAGATTTCTAGAGAAGAGACCAGGTGCATTTTAGAGCACTTTAGCCTTTTGTGCATCTTGAAAATTAATCACCACCCCATAGATTTGAACGGTGCTTGTTTTTCAAAACATTTTCATATTTTGAAAGGCAGGCTCACCAAATGTTTAAGAACACGGAGCTCGAGTGCCTGCTTCTACCTTTTCCTTGCCAGGTGATCTTTTACAACATACTTAGCCTCTCTGTGCCTCAGTTTCTCATCTGTAAAATGGGATAATAATAGAATCTATGTCATAGGGTTGTTGCTGAGATGAATTTATATATACTAATACACATTATATTGACCATGGTGCTTGGCACAAAGGAAGTGCTCCTTAATTTTCTATTATTACATGTCTTGATTTAGTGATCCTGTCACTTCTTGGAGATAGGGGCAATGCGAATTTTGAAACTCAGGAAAGCTGGAGGACTTGCCCATGCTCCCGCAGCTAGGGAGCAGGAGAAGGGGATGATCCAGGTGGCCTGGTAACCAGTGCCAAGGGCTCTCAGTCCTCCTGTCCTCTCTGCTTGAGTTCTCCCAACACATACCGAGAGTGGAAGAGTCATATCTGGTGGCTGAATATTTTTTCAAAAGTGATGCTTTGGTTCTCAAGTATATTGTGGATCATCTGAGAATGAGGACTATGTCTTAAGGCAGCTGTTCCCATCCTTTTTGGCACCCGGGACCTGTTTCATGGAAGGCTGTTTTTCTACTGGCCAGGAACAGGGTGGGACAGAGGATGATTTGGGGATGATTCAAGCACATCACATTTATTGTGCACTTTAATTGCTAGAATCTAATGCTGCCACTGATCTGACAGGAGGCGGAGCTCAGGCAGTAATGTGAGCGATGGGGAGTGGCTGTAAATACAGATGCAGCTTCACTAGCTTGCCCTCAGCTCACCTCCTGCCGTTCCGCCCCGTTCCTGACAGGCCACAGCCAGCACTGGTCCATGACCCTGGGGTTGGGAACCCCGTCTTAAGATCTCTCCTAGCCCTGGCCCCTAACACTGTGCCTCTATGAAGGACTCTGGTGAAGTGGGTTTTGAAGGGGAGGTTCCATGGGGAGTCTTTCATGATGAGAAGCAGAGGCCCAGCATGAGCTTTCCAAGCCGGGGGATCGGATTATGAGGAAGGGCCTGCTCTGAGGTCCCCCAGCTACACTTGCACTTTCAGAAACTGCTGTTGGAACCGTACGTGTTAGCGGCATAAAAAATGAACACAAATCAATTTGTCTCTGAATGTACTCTGAATTCCCCATGGACTCTATAAAATGCCATTTTACCCTTTTCCACCCATCTGACTGTGGAGGCAGTGGTGGATTTACATTATTTTACATTTTTTTACATGTAAAATATTTACATTATTTTACAGTTACGGGTTTGTTTTTTTCCCTTTTGGTTATGTTTTTAAGAAGAATGTTTATTGCCTATAAAGAGGTGTTTTTGTTGAAGACAATAGTGCCCTTTAGGTAGTCATAGGATGTTATTTCACAAATACCTATGAAACTGTTAAACAAGCTGAGATTGCTGGAGCTCTGCTTAAAATGGGCTTTTCATTCGTCTTTACCTTTGGAAGCTCCATGACATGGGTTTCACCACCACGGCTGCTACCGGGAAGGAGACCAGCTGGAGAAACACAGGGAGACGTGGGCAAGGCCACCCCGACCGACTGTACAGGGCAAGGCTGCCGTTTGCCCCCCCAGCCCCCCCAGGAGCCCCATGTGTGCGGGAAACGCAGCTTAGGTCTTTGGTCATGGCCCGACCTAAGACAGATTCCTGGTGGTTCAGAGGGCTCCTGGGCTGTAGGCGGGATGGGGAAGAGAAGGAGGGAGGGTGCTTGGGTGGGAGGGACTGAAGCTGAGGGGTTCAAGGGGCACCTCAGACTCACCACTCACAAGCCGTCTCCCTGGAGGCAGAGGCCTCTTTTCCTCACTCAGAAAGTGAGGGTAATAATAATAATAATAATAATATTACAGCACCCTTCACTGGGAGGATTAGAAGAAGCAAGTCTGGAAGTGCGTTTGGCAGGGTGCCAGGGTGAAAGTGTTATTCGCTCAGCGTCTGACTCTTTGTAACCCCATGGACTGTAGCCCGCCAGGCTCCTCTGTCCATGAAATTCTCCAGGCAAGAATACTGAGGTGGGTTGTCATTCCCTTCTCCAGGGGATCTNTAGAAGAAGCAAGTCTGGAAGTGCGTTTGGCAGGGTGCCAGGGTGAAAGTGTTATTCGCTCAGCGTCTGACTCTTTGTAACCCCATGGACTGTAGCCCGCCAGGCTCCTCTGTCCATGAAATTCTCCAGGCAAGAATACTGAGGTGGGTTGTCATTCCCTTCTCCAGGGGATCTTCCCCACCCAGGGATTGAACCCGGGTCTTCAGCACTGCAGGCATTTTCTTTACCGTCTAAGCCACCAGGAAATGTCACTAAGAAGGGAGGTGAGAAAAGGACTCTGGGCTTCCTTCTTGCCCTTCCCGCTGCTTCTCACCGCCCAGCGGGTCGGGGGTCAGGGTTCTGCATCCCTGCCTCGTGAGCGGCTGACCCAGAACAGGAATATGCGCTGAGAACGCTCAAGGGGGCCACTCTCTGGCTCAGGAAAAGGAAGCTCTCACAGGCCAGACCGAGACCGCAGCTTCACCTCAGACTCCAGCACCAAGTACTCAGAGTTTCAGTCTCTTGGTGAGGACCCGACCAAGATTTACTCTTGCACAGCTGTGAGCAGGACTGTAGGGGCAGGCTGTAAACACGCCTCTGAGCAGCCCCCGCCCATCCACCCAGAGCTTCGGAGCTTCCCCCCCACTCCCTTTGTCCGGGATCTTTAAGTCCTACCTCCCGAGTCAGACGCCATTCTAAGTGTGATGTGATTAATTCGGTTCATCATCTTGGGAGCCCTGGGAGGCAGTTATTGTTGTTGTTCCCACTTCGCAGGTGAGAAGTCTGAGGTGCAGAGAGGTTACCCAGCTAGTTAGTGGTGAACTGGACTTGAACCCGGAGTCTGACCCAGAGCGGGTGTTCTGCCCTGTTCTCCTTCTGGCCAGCTTGCTCTTGACTCTGGTAGAGACCCTGGCAGTGGCAACAGGGTCCCAGCTGCTCAAGGCTGGCTGAGTCTCTGTTTCCCTGTGAAGGCATGCTAATACTGACAATAATCATAGTGATGACTTACATGAAATAACAATCTGCCTGTTACTTTTACTATTATCATCATCATTGAGCCTTTCCCAGCAGCCCAGCTAATGCCAAGCATTTGACATGTATTATATTTTTAAAAAGAATATTTATTTGTCTGCACTGGGTCTTAGTTGTGGCATGTGGGATCTAGTTCCCTGACAGGGATTGAACCCTGGCCCCCTGCCTTTGGAGTGTGGAGTTTTAGCCAATAAACCACCAGGGAAGTCCCAAGTTACTTTATTTAATCTCGATAATAACACCAGGGGGCGAGTACTATACTTACGGAATGTATGGTATTCTTTACCATCTAAGCTACTTCTCTGGTAGCTTAGATGGTAAAGAATCCACCTACAATACAGGAGACTCCAGTTCGATCCCTGGGTTGGGAAGATCCCCTGGAGAAGGGAATGGCAACTCACTCCTGTATTCTTGCCTGGAGAATCCCATGGACAGAGGAGCCTGGTGGACTATAGTTCATGAGGTCACAAACACTTTCACTTTTCTTCACTATCCTTACACCCATTTTAAAGTTGAATTAACCCTAAGGCTCCCCATTTACCACATTATTTGTGTTTTCATTTTTTAAACATTTCCAGCAGCTAATCACTTTGCATGCCCTCACTGTAGCCAGGCTCAAAAACTTGAAATAACTGCACATTGGCCACCACACCCAGGTCCTCTGGCTCCCTGATTACCAGGGTGCCTTAGAATCTGAACTGTATGTTGTGCTAATTACAAAACACTCAGCACTTGCCTGAATCAGCTCCACTGAGAATTCCGAGTATGTAACTTTGTTGTTTTAGATCAGTTTATTCTTAGGCAAAGTAAACCTGAAATTGCTTTTGAATTCCTTTTGAAATATTCCCTAGTTCTGTGTTTTCACACATTCACCAAGGCCTTACTTCTCCCATTAGGCTGATTCTGAGGTTTTGCTGCACAGGGAGAATGTTAACTGACAAAAACCATAAGTAATGGCGCTGAACTGTAAAGTAATTAATGCAGGAATAATAGCACAGAGTGGGGATCTCGGTGTTTTAATGAGAGCTCAGGAAACTGCCTGGCTGAAGTTGGTTGAAAGTGGAGGGGGAGAGGAACGTAACCATAATCACTGCTGCTTATTAAAAAGTGACCTCTAAAAACAAAGTGACCTCTTTGGCGTGATCAATACGGAGGCCTCAAAACCTTTTCTGTCACCTGGAACTTTGCTTCTAAGACTCTGTGGGCCTTTTAATAAAAAAGATAGTCCCCAGTCTACCCTCACCTACTGTGAAATTTTCCAGTATTTTTTTTTTTTCTTTTTTGAGGGTGAAATTAGAAATCACCATTTTTAGAATATTTGTGTGTGTGTGTGTATGTATATATTTTACCCTCAAATATATTTATTCAATGTTTGCTCTATACTGAGAGTTTTAACTTTCTGTTTTCCTTTCCATTATCCCTGAAAAGAATGGATTATGGAAAAAAGATTAAAGTAGGTATAACGCGATACAGTGTTTGCTAATGTGCTATCAGAAGTATTAGTAGGACTTGCCAAGGTTTGTGTCTTTTATGAATGCCTTTCAGATTGCAATTATCTAATAGACTTGGAAACCTGTTTGTATTCTTGCAGGCATTAACTGTCACCTTTGAAAAAATCCCAGAAAATGAGAGTGCAGATGTCTGTCGGAACATATCAGTCAATGTTCTTGATTGCGATACCATAGGTCAAGCCAAAGAAAAGATTTTCCAAGCATTCCTAAGCAAAAATGGCTCTCCTTATGGACTTCAGCTGAATGAAATAGGACTTGGTAAGGCAATACTATTTTGTCCCAATTCCCTGATGAGGATCCCTCCCACCATCCCTCCCTCCCAGCAGGCCCCCAGCATGTAGCTGTGACTCTGTTTGCTGAAGCTTACTAGCCTGGAATGTTCCCAGAGGGCATGTCTAAGGACCCGGAGATTGCATTGTTCTCTCACAAGTATCATCCTACAAAAACCAGGATCCTTCAAAGAAGCTGTTCTTCTTTCAAAAAAAAAAAATTATGTTTGTAAATCAGATTCATGAGATTTCGAACCCTGAGACCTAGTGAATTCACCTTGCATCAAGAAGTACAAAAGGTGTCAACCTCAGGCCTTCTGTATGTGTTGCGTTTCACGTTGGCATTTGATTTGTTTGTTGTGATACCGAATATGTCATTAGTGGGTGGCTCAGACTCTGGGTGTGAACCCCAGCAGGCTAGAAAGGTCATCTTCCTCTCTGCTAATCGCATCCTGCATTAAGTATAGACTCGGTCCTCCCCCACCATGAAGCAGCATCTGCTCGGAATTCATTTTCGGGCTCTATTGGTATACTGCAAAGGCGAGCATATGCGTGAGCGAGCTAACAGGGCTCCACTTCACTCAAATGTTCATCAACATTTTAAAGTTGAGCTCCACGCAGCCCTCCCAGGAGACTGTCGTGGGATTTTACAGCAGATAATGGGATAGGGAAAAAAGAGTCAAAGCGCAGCGGTGACAGACAGCGTAACAAGGTTCATCTCTCCTGCACGTTCAGTTGTAGCCTCGACTAAGCAGGCAATTAAATTCATCCCACCTAAAAAAAAAAAATTATGTTTGTAAATCAGATTCATGAGATTTCGAACCCTGAGACCTAGTGAATTCACCTTGCATCAAGAAGTACAAAAGGTGTCAACCTAAGGCCTTCTGTATGTGTTGCGTTTCACGTTGGCATTTGATTTGTTTGTTGTGATACCGAATATGTCATTAGTGGGTGGCTCAGACTCTGGGTGTGAACCCCAGCAGGCTAGAAAGGTCATCTTCCTCTCTGCTAATCGCATCCTGCATTAAGTATAGACTCCGTCCTCCCCCACCATGAAGCAGCATCTGCTCGGAATTCATTTTCGGGCTCTATTGGTATACTGCAAAGGCGAGCATATGCGTGAGCGAGCTAACAGGGCTCCACTTCACTCAAATGTTCATCAACATTTTAAAGTTGAGCTCCACGCAGCCCTCCCAGGAGACTGTCGTGGGATTTTACAGCAGATAATGGGATAGGGAAAAAAGAGTCAAAGCGCAGCGGTGACAGACAGCGTAACAAGGTTCATCTCTCCTGCACGTTCAGTTGTAGCCTCGACTAAGCAGGCAATTAAATTCATCCCACCCGGCCCTCCAAGGCAGCCCCCCTGCTAAAAGGCCATTGAGAGAAACCTGGGGGCAGGGTCTGGCCCCATGAGTGAAACCATGCAAATGTATAACAGTTCCAAGGCCTGGCTTCAAGGGAAGCGAGGCCACTAGAGCACTCTCATCCACCTGTCTTCTGCTTCCTTCTGTTGGCTGGACTGTGGGCACTTCAAGACCGTGTGAGCTCATTTGGTTGGAGGTGGGGTCAAAGGGCAGCCCCAGTCAGGCAACCATGACATAACCCAGGACCATCAGCTTCCTGGACCTGCGCCTGCATCTCCAAGTGTCACTCTGACTACAAAGGCCCTTGGAGCCAAGACCCATGGGGAAATGGCCCCGTGACCTCAGTCCTGCTGCTGCCAAGTCCATAGGACCATCCTCACACCATCGAGGGTTTCTGCCCATCAGGTGTTCCTGGCCTCTGATGTCGGGGGTGGGACAGGGAGCAGGACAAGCCCCCTAGAAGCTTCCCATTATAGTCTTATGGCAAATGGCTTCTGCATGTCTGCTGATCTTCCAAACTAGCTCCTTGGCTAGCCTTAGAAAACTAAGACATAGCCTTAGATACCAGCTATAAATTGTATTAAAATCCGATACGAGAAGCAGCTGTGTAGAGACCTCTCATAGCAGAGACTCACACAGGCAGATGCCCAGAGGGGCAAGAGGCATCGTTTATAAGGGATGTCAGCCTACCTGGGATAATGGGAACTGGTGGGACCCAACTTAATTGGTGAAAGCCACCAGCTAGATAAGGGGGCAGTGTGATCAGTGTTACCAGATGATCCAGTTTTTTTTCAAAAGAGAAATCACAAGTCCTAATTTTTATGTGCAATCTTCAATCTTTAAATGTTGGTTCTGAATTGACATTAGAATAAAACATGGTGCAGGTTCACAAAATGAAAAACAAACCACATCCGTGGGCCACACTCTAACCCTAAGGCACAAGCTGGTGACCTCTTAAAGGAGCTGAAGCCCTGATGCTGGGGTGCCAGCCAACCAGCGCACCCCACACGGGGATGGACAGATCGTTCCTAGAGCACCTGCTTGTGAACACACAGGTAGTAAGCATGCAGATTTGCTTTTGGAATTTTCTGAAGAGTTTAATATCTTGGAGGATGCATTATTTTGTCTTCCTTTGGCTTTATTTCCAGGGTTAGCCTCAGAGTAGAAGCTTCAGGAAAAAAATGTGATCTTACCTATCAGAGCCCTAAACATAAAAAGTAAAACAGAAGAGAACGCAGGCTACTGGCCTGGCTGATAACATCTCCAAACCTTCAAAACCACTTTATTTTGGCCTTATTTTTTAGCCACTAAGTCGTGTCTGATTCTTTGCCATCCCACGGACTGTAGCCTGCCAGGCTTCTATGTCCATGGGATTCTCCAGGCAATAATATTGGAGTGGGTTGCCATTTTCTTCTCCAGGGGATCTTCCCAAACCCTGTCTTACTTACAGCAGACAGGGATCAAACCTGTGTCCCCTGTAAGTAGTAATTGCAAAAGTGACACATTAGTATGTTACATTTCTGTGTCATTTTAAAAGAAAGCAAAATGCTCTTTTTCAAAAAATTTTTTTCCAGAGCTTCAGGTGGGCACACGACACAAAGAACTTCTGGATATTGACAGCTCCTCTGTGATTCTTGAAGACGGAATCACCAAGCTCAATACCATTGGCCACTACGAGGTAAGAACAAGGTTATCCCCAGCCTGAACTGGGGCTTAGCTCATGTCCAGGACCATGCAAATTCTTTGAAAATTACAAGATTCCCACCAGTTTTCTGGAATCATTTGAAGATTGCTTGTTTCAGGGGCAGAAATTTTCCTTACTTGCTCATGGTGTGGGATCTCCTTTCCCAGAGCTGCGATTTTCACGGGGTCCAGTCACTTTCTATCCTGCGGTTTAGGTCAGAAACTTCACCTTTACCAGATCCTCTGGACTGTTCAGTGGAAGAGGCATTGTTGAGCTTGACCCTGGACAAAGCTATGGGAGTTCTAAGTGGCACCGCTGTTCATTACTGACCTGGTGACCTCTGTGTAGGGTCCTTTGTTTCTGAAGAAGTTTTACGTTTCCTGTTTGTTTGAATATTCAGTGATACCTCCTTGGCCTCTGACCCACTTGCTGGGTGAGTGTTGAGGTGGGTGAGGGGAACGTGTGACCCAGCAGAGAGCTGAGTGCGGGAGAAGCGTGCTCAGAACCAAAGAGGGGAGGCGGGGGAGGTTCCTGCACACCACGGGGTCCTGCGAGTCATTCAGGAAATCACCCGAACCTTTGTTGAATATCCACTCTGTGCTAAGAGCTGGGACGGCATTCGAGTGGAACAAAGACTAGGTTCCTGGCCTCAGACAGCCTACAGCCCTGGGACCGGGGCAGGGGTGGAAAGGAAGGAGGAGACAAGTCGTGAGGCAGCATCTTACAGTTTAAGAGTGCTATGACTCAGAGCATCCAGGAAGGCTTCCTGGAGGAAGCAGTGACTCATCTAAGACCTGAAGAGTGAGAACTTAACCAGGCCAACATTCCCAACAGGGAAGGGGAGCGTGCTTGCTCTTCTGCAGAAAGACTTTTAGACTAGCTAGAACTGGAGAGGGGCACAGGTAGCAATGAGAGCCAATAACAGCCAATGTTTATGGAACGCCTATCCTGTGCCAGTTGCTGGTCTCAGCCTTCCTTTTATTTCTGCAAATTTTACCCATAGCAGTCCTATGAGGTAGGGACTGTTATTAACCCACTTTACAGATGAGTACACAGAGGCTCAGGGAAGTGTGAGCTAGTCAGTAGCTAGTCAGTGGCAGAGAGAAGTTGGGACCCGAATCGTTGGGCTCTAGGGCCCATAGCTTAACCAGTACAGGATGGCTTCTCACAGTAGAAAGGCAGAGACGTGGCGGGGTGTGGGGGGGTGGTGGTGTGGGGAGTGGGGAAGTACAGACCGCGCAGGCCCCACAGCTTCGTCCAGTCTGGGTGTTATGCCCAGCACAGTGGGACACCATTGGAGGATCTTACGCAGGAGAAATTTGTGTCTCAGGAAATGACTGTGGCTGTGTGTGGAGCATGGATATAGGAGGTGCCAACGGGGAAACGGGGAGGCTCTTTAAAGGATTTCGGGTAAGGAATGATGCTGACCGGGAATGACACTGTGGCTCTGGAAAATGAGGCAAGCAGATGAATTCAGAGATGGGCGGAAGGTACAAGCCGTGAGCTGTGTGGGTGGGAGAGATACTGGGGGGAGGCGGGTCAGGAAGGCATGGGGATGGCTGGGTAGATGCACAGACGCCCTTGCCGAGCTAGAGAAGCAGGGCAGCAGCTTCCCAGGCCCTTGGAGAGTAGCGCCCCATCTTTCAGGGCTGAAATCCCATGGAGACGTGTCTGCACCAAGAAGGCCTTTGGGGCAGGCACTCCCCTCACCCAGACAGAATCCGAGACCAGTCCTTGCCAGGTTTCCTGGACAACCTCCGGGAGCAGAGGACCCCCCAGCCTTGGGCTCTTTGGCTGAGCGGGTCTCAGAGCCGGGTGAGGAATTGTTGCTTTGGGTAATCCCTGGGTGGGTGTTGCCCCTGCAGCCTTTGCTGGAGGGCGCCCCGCAGAGAATGTGCCGGGTTAACAGTTTGTCCCTGTCCTCACCCTTCTGCATCTTAGACTTTCCAACCTTGGTATCATCTTGCCAAGAGCTGCGGCGCCTGTGGGGTTTTTAAAAATTCTATAAAGTTCAAGGAACTTTCTGGAAGTACCTCTTCCTATTGGTGGGCCACATTTGGAGAAGCGCTGCTCCAGAGGAAATCTAAGGGCTGGGAAAATTAGAATCAGGCTCATTCCACCTTCAGTCTGCGTTTGAGAGCTGCACCCCGCCGCTGTCTCCTCCTCCTGTTTCTGGGCGGTGGGCTTGTCTGGGCAAGTTTGGCAGAAACGCAGCCCCCAACGCCCTCCTTTGGTGTCTTGAGCCGCGCTGGCCTTGCTCAGCTGTGCAGGGAGGGCCAGCCCGCCCTGGTCAGGCTTCTCAGCGCCCCCTGGCCACCATGTGGCAGGCAGTGGGCCCCAAAGGAAGGGGGTGTGGCCGCTCACTGGCACAAGAGGGCAAGGCAGACGAGACGCTCCAGCAGGGAAAGGGGAGACCCACGCCTGCTGTCTGCAAGGTGAGGGGAGGACTGTCAGGAGAGAGGGGACATCAGTCTTCACTGCAGACACAGCCGTGCTAGACCCCGATCTGCTTAAGGATGATAATGAAATTAATCTGGCCTGTAGTCACTTCCCGTCCCAATGATTTATTGGCCTCATACCCTAGCGTTGCCACATGGTGGTAATAAATGACAAGACTAGGACAGAAGGGCTTAAAGGATTCTCCTTACGTTTAAAGAGCTAAGCCGTAAGGCAAATAAACGCAGAGAGCTTGAAGGAAACTGGGGAGGTCAACGGCCGCATGCTGTCTGTGCCTGGACCATCCCACATGCCCTGGTTTTCAGAGACTATCATATATCCAGCCTCCTAAATCTACACCCGCTTCACAGCACAGTCAAAATCTGGAATCATTTGACAGGGCTGAGCTGAAGCTTGCTTTTGCCCTTTCATTAAAGAAAAATTTTCTCCTAGAACACTTACATTTCCCTCCAAAGAGACAGGGCGCTAATTATCACTCTTATTCATTTACTAAAGCGCTCTCGTTTGAGTCACTGTAAGTGCTTGAAAGCAAAAAACTATATTTCATTTAAAAATAGGATCTCACTCGGAGTCTTAAGTGATTCAGACTCACCTCCCTCCAATTAGCCCAAATTAGTGAGGTTTTCGAGTTAATCTGTAGCGAAGGCCAGTTCCTCCTCCTATCTAAACAAAGTCCCTGCTGCTGGAATGTGAGCCTGTTTCCTCTGTCGCCTTGTCCTGTCCTCAGGGCAAATAGAGTGTAGCTGTTCTCCTCCGAATGATTTACTGTCCGTGTACTTGAAGAACCAGTTTCTTGAAGGGACATGATGGTGCAGCGAGAACATAGCATCTCATGGGTCGGATGCCGCCTCCGGAGCCCCACAATACCAGCAGTGCCCATCACCAGCAGGATGGCATCCTTGCCCACCCTGGGTGTCGGCTTGCTTTGCACAACGGTGGCAGCACCTGACGACAGTGGCAGCCGGTGCCCAGCACTGCTGGAGGGCATAGACATGATGGACTTTCACACAGCCTGTGTGTATTACCCTCGTTCTCTATCGGGTGAACACGAAAGAGCAGAAATTCCTGCTCCAGTCTTTGAGTGCTGTGCAGACAAGGGGCAGAGTGACACCTTGACAAACCCATGAAGCCAGAGGCATCTTCGCACCTATCATTAGGCCGTCCCGAATGCCTCCTTCACTGTTGCCCACTGTGTGTGTTTGCTACGAGGGGGACCGTGCCGTGCTCTGGAGCCAGCGCGGGTGACTCTGTGAGTCTGGAGAGGGTGTGAGGCCGCTGGTCCCATGTGACTGTGGCAGGATGCTCTCTCCCGGTCCAGGCTTGCTGCAGCTGCCCCCGCCTCTGCCGTGTGACCTCTCACTGCACCCACATCCAGCCGTTGGGTGGCATCAAGTTTGCAGGACAGGTGTTGTGTCCGGCAGGAAATGTGCTCTTACAGATCACACCTCTCGTTCTGAGCTGTGAGGTTTTGAGGGCAGAAGAGACGTTTAACCACCGTGTTGCTGAAGAATGTTCCTCCTAACGGGAGCGTGCCGGTGCTCCAGTGGTCAGTGCTAACACCAGAGTTGTCGCTCACATGATACTTAAAGTTCAGACGAACGTCCCCAAGGTCAGTGGGCTTTCCGGTCAGGTGTGTCGCCTGTGGACAGGCTGTGGGCTCCATCTTTGGACTCTCTAAGGGTCTCGTATAGCATGGATGACTTTAGATTCTTATTCACCAGAAAAGTGGAAAGCTTTAGTGTGCTGGGCACTGTTCTAGGAGCTTTCACGAACAGTAGCTGCTTCATCCTCTTTGTAGCCCGGTGAGGTAGACACTGTCATTCTTCCCATCCCAAGGCTCAGGGAGCCTAAGAACCTTGGCCACACTCCCATAGCTCTCCTCACTGGTGCCCCAAGGCTGGAAGCAGATGAAAAAGGGATTGCACAGAGGCTGTGCCTCTGCTCAGCGCCAGAGGGGTCACCTTGCTCAGAGCTGGGCTTGCAGCCCACGTTCCTAGCCTCTGAAGCAGCCTGGCTGGAGAGCTTAGGAGAAATTCTGGTAGTCATCTTCTCTGATGTCAAATTCAAAAGGGCGACTTCTCTTCAGATCTTACGCTCAATCTCACGTCTGTGAGTTTATCAGAATGCTTCCTTATGTCTGATCCTTTTTTGACATCCTTTAAGGCCAATACTCCTTGAAGGCGACAGAAGTTTACCCTCATCAGAGGGAAGCCTCTTTCAGGTATCCAAGGGCTGACAACTCCAGCGCAACAAAAGCCTGGGGAGCTTAGGCTCCTCATCGCTCGCTCACTGGTGGAGCCCAGGCTCCCGCCTCGAGGACTAGCTCGGGGCTCCCGCCGTCCTCAAAGCGGCTTTGTGTCTGGCCCAGGGCTGATCCCAAGCACACCAGAAAGAAGCCAGACCTCTGTTATCATTGTCACTAGTGTCAGGAGCCCTCCAGAGCTCTGTCCTGGGCGGCGGGAGCGTCTTGGGTGATGTGATGTGTCTGTTGAGAACGTTCCAGATGCTCTGCTGAGCCCTGAGCCTCCTCTCCTGAA